CCTGGGTGCTGTCCCTCAGCTCTTCACCTCAAAGCTAGCACTCTACCACTTGAGCCACAGCACCACTTCCGGCTTTTTTCTTTTTGCTTATGTGGTGCTAAGGAATGGAACCCAGGGCCTCAGGCATGCAAGGCAAGCGCTCTACCACTTTCCTAGCCCCTCTATTTTCTTTTTAAGATAGGGTCTCACAGTTAGTTACAACTGGGTGAGTCTGGACTGCAATACACCTATTTATGCTTCCTGCAGAGCTGGGATGACAAGCACACGCCATTACACACAGCTGTTTTTTTTGGGGGGGTCATGAGGTCTGAACTCTGGGCTGGGTGCTGTCCCTCAGCTCTTCAGATCAAAGCTAGCACTCTACCACTTGAGCCACAGTGCCACTTCCTGTTCTTTTTTCTGGTGGTTTATTGGAGATAAAGAGTTTCAGTTTCCTGCCTGGGCTGGCTTTGAGCCGTGATCCTCAGATTCTCAGTCTCCTGAGTAGCTAGGATTACAGGCATGAGCCACCAGTGCCCGGCTACACACAGCTTTTTACTGAGGGGTAACTAGCGATCAATCTTCCAGATCTCCGCCTCCACTGTAGCTCGGATTACAGCTGTGCACCACCATGCCTAGCCTAATCCTACAATTCAAAACAATCTAGAGCACAGGCCAGTCCAGTTTCCATTTCCCAGGGAGGAACCCAGGCTGAATTGGGGGGGGGTCCCCCAACTCAGGGATGAGGGAGACACCACCCAAACCCTTCTTCCATTAAAGCTGTTGTTAATACTGACCACCTCGCCATCCGGCCTCACTTCGGTTCTCCCAGAAGCAAGGTGGCTGGGAGGAGCCAGGATCAGATCCTTGAGTCCCGTCATCTCTGGAAGGAGGGGGACAGCAGCGCCCCCAGGCTGCCCAGGTAAGCGGAGACAGAGGCCCATGGGCAGGTAGAAATGTGAAGGAACTTTAATTGCCCGCCCCCTCCCCGCTGTGATGGGGTGGCAGGAGTGTCTAAACAAAACTGTCCAACAGTCTGGGAGCAGCTCAGGACCAGCCCCTCAGCTTGGCTGTGGTCCTGCCTGTTGTCCATCCAGGTTCCCTGCATCCAAGGAGAGGAGCGTGAGGACCCCCAGCCACAGGGCCACATCTGGAGGAGCTCAGGTTCAAGGCTCTTGGTGGCGGAAGAGTCCAGGCCTCTGAGGGCCCAGACGGCAGCAAACAATGGCCCGTGTGTCCTCTTGGCTGCCAGCCCGGGCGGCGGGCAGCGCTCAGAGCTGTGAGGTCTTCCGTTCTGACAGCAGCAAGGACTCCTTCACAGCTACCAGCAACCGCATGGGGGGCAGGCGCCCCCGGGCTCGGAGGCGGAACAGGAGGAGGAGGGTGGCAGCCACTAGGATGGCACTCAGCACCCCTGGGGAGACAGACAGACAGACATAGAGTGAAGCCGAGGAGACAGAAGCCCTCTGCTGCTGGCCTGCCCCCAGCCCTCGACAGGGAGTCTGTCTGTCTTACCAGCAGCCACAACAACCCTGTAGGCACTGGGGCTTCCAGCCTGGTTCCCTGTAAGGGTGGCTGTAGTATTCTGGAGGGAGGTGATGCTCTCCAGGGTAACAGGTGTTGCCACAGGAGTGGTACTCCCTTCCTGGAAGGTCTCATTGGTGTCCAGGCTGGTTTCTGCAATGAGCCAGGCAGTAGGTACTGAAGGACAGGAGGGACACGCGTGGGGTCCAGGGAAGCCCTGGGGCTCGACAACCCATCCTGGGTGCATCTCTGCCGAGGAGGGACATCTCACCACCCTCCAGGGGTACAGACCTGCCAGCCGGCCCGCACCCAGGTACGCACCGCAGCCCAGCTCGTCACTGGCGTCGGGGCAGTCAGGGTGGCCGTCACAGAGCCACGTGTGAGGGACGCAGGCCTCGGTCGCCGCGCAGCGCCGCTCGTCCTCTCGGCACAGCCCCTGGCTGCAGTTGTGCGGGGCCCTGATGCCACCGGGGCACCCACTGAGGTTGTCACAGGAACACGGGAGGGCAGAGGGGGGTGGGCAGTGTCCATCCTGGGCACACGGCTCGATCCCTGGGGCACAGGACCAGTCAACACCTGCCCGGGAAAACCCGGTGGTCCTCCAGCCCACCCCCTGAGCCCCACAAAATCCCACCTCAGGCCCCGCCCACTCCTGGCACTCCGCCCCCGGAAGTCCCGCCCCGGTGCCACTCACTGCACTCCTCCTCATCACTGCCATCTGCGCAGTCGCGGTCCCCGTCGCAGCGCCAGGTGAGGGGCACGCAGTAGCCATTGGTACCGCACTGGAAGCTGGTGGACGGGCATGAGCCGCTGCCGAGACCTGCGAGAGGCGCAGCGACGCATGGAAGGCCTAAGTGCCGGCGCTGGTGGCTCATGCCTGTAATCTTAGCTGAGACCTGAGGATCACAGTTTGAAGCTGGCCTAGGCAGCAAAGTCCATGCCACGTTTTCTTTCTTTCTTTCCTTTTTTTCCTTCCTTCCTTCCTTTCTCTCTCTCCCTTCCTTCCTTTCTTTCTTTTCCCTCCTTCCCTCCCTCCCTTCCTTCCTTCCTTCTTTCCTTCCTTGGTCAAGGGCTTGAACTCTGGGCCTGGACCTGGGCGCTGTCCCTGAGCTCTTCAGCTCAAGGCTAGTGCTCTACCATATGAGCCACAGCACCACTTCCAGTTTTTTGGTGGTTAACTGGAGTAAGAGTCTCATGGAGGCTGGGAATGTGACTTAGTGGTAAAGAGCTTGCCTAGCATGCATGAAGCCCTGGGTTCAATTCCTCAGTACCATATAAACAGAAAAAGGTAGAAGTGGAGCTGTGGCTCAAGTGGTAGAGTGTTAGCATTTGGCAAAAGAAGCTCATGGATAGTGCCCAAGCCCTGAGTTCAAGCCCCACAACTGGCAAAAAAAAAAAAAAAAAGGTTGCACGGACTTTTGTGCCTGGGCTGGATTTGAACCATGATCCTCACATCTCAGCCTCCTAAGTAACTAGGATTACAGGCATCGGTCACCAGCTCCTGGTTCCATGAGACTTTTATCTCCAATGAACTACTCAGAAAAAGCTGGAAGTGGCTCTGTGGCTCAAGTGGTAGAGCATTAGCATAGAGCAGTAGCCTTGAGCACAAAGAGGCTCAGGGATAGCTCCCAAGCCCCGAGTTCAAGTCCCAGGAGCAGCAAAAAAAAAAAAAAAAAGGCTGTGGTCCTGGCCAAGCTAGGTCCCAGGTGGCACACTGACACTGGTAACCATCCTTTGCTGAATGCAGAAGTCCACAGCCTTACAAGGACATCTGCTGGGTAGGATGGCTACACTCTCCAGTCTGTAAAAGACACAAAAGGAGAGAGCCACAAAGCTAGGACAGAGTTGGGTGTCCCAAGACAGGTTTCCACGACCCTAGAGACTCGAACCAGATGGCCCATTCTGGCATCCTGCAAGTCCATGGCTAAACAGACTGGAGTAGGGCCAAATGTGGTGACTCACCCTGTAATCCCGGCTAATTTGGAGGCAGAGAGCTAAAGGATCTAGTTCAAGTCCAGCCCAGGCTAAAAAGTTAGTGAGACTCATCTCAGTCAAAAAGCTGGGCCCGGTGATGTGTGTAATCCCAGCTATGCAGGAGCTGTAGGTGGGAAGACTGAGGTCTAGCCTAGCTGTTGACCAAAACACAAAACCCTGTCAAGAATCAAAAAAATAAAGTGGGGGAAGGGACCATCCCCAAAGTGTTCTGGGATGGGTTTATGGTCAACAGGCCATATTCTATCCCAGCTGCTTGGCAAAGGGGAAACTGAGGTCCTGGGTAGAGAGACTGCTCAGTCACCAAGTCCTGTTACCTAACCACAACTCTTCCCAGGTCTGACCACTTTCCATGACCTGAATGTGCCACCTGCCTCATCAGGCCCCCAAGACCTGACATCCACTAGAGCCCAACAGCAGAGACCTGAGTCACCGCCCTGTGCTCCCCACCATCCTCCCGCAGCCTTCCTCCTCAAGCCCGGCCCTCACCTCACTCATTTCCACCTTCCCTGTCTACCCCTGCCTAGAAGGGGCTTCCCTCCCCCAACTCTACATTTGGGATTTCTTCCACAGCCTCTAGATCCAGCTGGCTTCAGGGAGGAGCCTGCTGTCCCTCGTAAGAGATGCAGGAGGCTCTACCTCCCTCACTGAAAACAGGGGTAATATCCGCCCTCCCACTGACTTGATGGGGAAGGTCAGGACTGCGACTTCATGATCCAGCCCAGGGCTGTGCTACGCTGGCAGGACAGCAGATCAGAGGGTCTGAGCTGAGTCAGATGAGACCTGGGCCTTCCTGGACTCTGGACAGGGAGAGCTGGGTCTGTGTGCTGACCTGGTGGGGCACAACTGGGGCCTGGACCCTGAGCTGTCCACACCCCACTGTCCCCACAGCCAGTCCTCTTCTCAGGCCTAGCAGCCTAACTATACCTGCAGATCACACTGCCCCGGAGCTCTGCAGAGCCCGGAAGAGCTGGAGACAGCCAGAGCTGGCTTCCTTCCCTGCCCCCAGGGGTCTGGCAGCCTCCAGGAGTGCAGCCTTTGCCTTTCCTAGCACAATAACTCACACCCTGACACCTGTGGATCTTCCCACCCTGGCCTTTTTAAGTGTGTGTGCCTCTGTAGCATTTCAGAGAGCAGCATAGACCCTCACAGCCTATCTCTTCATTTGTAAACTAGGTACACTAAAACCCCACAAACCTCTCCCTCCTATTTATATAATGGTCCCTTAAACCAGTACAACATTGGGTGTGGTGGTATATGCCTGTAATCTCAGCACTCAGAAGGCTAAGGCAGGAAGATCAAGATTCAAGGATACCCTGGATGACCTAGGGAGACCCTGTCTCAAAAACAAAACAAAAAACAGAACAAGTCTAACCATAAACTGCACAATGAATACAGGTCAGGGCTGTGACCTCATGCCCCTACCCAGGGCAGTGCCTGGAAAACAGGTTACATCAGAGTTCCTACTCTGTATGTAGAGCTCTATGCTTGGTTAAAATGATTGCAACCTTGGCCAGGAGCTGATAGTTCTTATAATTCCAGCTACTCAGGAGGCTGAGATCTAAGGATCACAGTTTATTTATTTATTTTTTTGGGGGTCCAGTCGTGGGGCCTGAACTCTGGGCCTGGGTGGTGTCCCTCAGCAATTCAGCTCAAGGCTAGCGCTCTACCACTTGAGCCATAGCGCCACTTCCGGCTTTTTTCTTTTTGCTTATGTGGTGCTGAGGAATCGAACCCAGGGCCTCAGGCATGCAAGGCAAGCACTCTACCACTGAGCCACCTTCCCAGCCCCTAAGGATCACACTTTAAAGCCAGCCTGGAGGAAAGTCTATATTGGCTCCACTCCCCAATTAGCCAATTATCTCCAATTAGCCACCAAAAACCCAGAAGTGGAGCTGTGGTTCAAGTGGTAGAGCGCTAGGTTTGAGCAAAAAAGCTCAGAGACAGTGTGCAAGCCCTGCATTCAAGCCCCAAGACCACCACAAAACAAAGAAATCATCTTCACTGGAAGATCCAGGAACACTTAATTTAAAAATCCAGGGACTTTAGGGATGACTCCCAGTTTAAAAAGGCAAGAGGGCCAGTTGGTGGGATTCAAGCCTGTAATCCCAGCTACTTGACAAGCAGAAATCAGGAAATCGTGGATGGAGACCAGCCTGAGTATAAAAGTCCAGGAGACCCCATCTCAACCAATGGCTGGGCACAGTGGTACACAACTGTTCTCCCAGCTATGGGGGAAACACAATGGCTGGACCGCAGTCCACCAGTCATCCCCAGAGCCATGAGAAGCAGAAGATGGATTCCAGGCCAGGCATAAATCGAGACCCCCCCCACCTCGAAAACAACCAGTGGAGAAGGAGGTTGGAAGCGTGGATCGAGCGGTAGAACGCCTGGTTTCTAGTAAGCGCGAGGCTCTCAGCTCAATTCCTAGTCCCGCCAAAAAAAAGGGGGGGAGGGGGAGACTGAAGTCACTACAACTTGGGTCAGGGTGAACGTGTCCCCCGACATGGGTCAATTTTAACTTGTGAAGTTGGGGCGGGGGTGGAGAGGGAACCCACTCAAGGGCCTGGGGTAGCTGGGATTAAAAAGAAGCCCTTTCGTTCTGTAAGGCAGAAAGCCAAGGAGAATCTGGGAGAGTTAAGTTGCTCAAGAAACCAGCCGCAAGGCCTCGGGAAGAGGGGCGAAGGGATTGTCTTTCTTTTTTTTTTTTGGTTTGGAAGGCGCACCTGCAGCGGGGAGGCGCCTGGTGACCGACCAGCCGCCCTGCGCGGTTGGAGGTCGGGCTACGCGGTGCCTACCACCAGCCCGGTCCACCCCGCGCTGCGCTCAAGGGCGGCCTGGAGGTGACAGTGGGGGTCACGGCAGTGTAGGGCAGGAGTGTGTGTGGTGGGGGTGCGCGGGGTAGTTAACGACTGGGGTCGCCCCCCAAGATTCAAGGCTCGCAGGTTCGCGGCGCGAGAATTCCAACCCCACGTGCAGGGGGAGTGCCCCGAGACGGACAAGCGCCGCAGCCAATGGCAAGGCGTTCCCGGCGCGCACAGGGCGGGGCGGAGCGGCTAGAGGGGCTGCGGCGGGCTACGCGGGGACTTAACTCACCTGGGGCCTGGATTGGAGTCTGGGTCCTGACCGAAGTTGGGGCGGCTTCTAGGCCTAGTCCGAAGCCAAGCAGCAACCGCAGCACTAGGCCAAGAGCCACCGTCCGTCGTTCTCCGCCCCGCGCCATCCAGCCGCTAGCCGCACCGCCCCAGCCGTGCCGCCAACCACCCACAAAGTACCGGCCGGCCCCGCTTGTAGTTCTACGCACGCGCAGGATCAGAGAGGGGGCGTGGCTCGAGGTCCTCTGCTCGTGTGGCGCCCGCGGCTGCGCCTACCGTAAATATCAGAGTGCGAGGGTCTTTGCTAAGCCGCCCTGGGCCTGTAATCCTTGCTACTCAGGCTGCTGAGATGTGAAGATCCTTGTTCTAAACCAGTCTGGGCAGAAAAGTCCAAGAGACTCTCCAATTAACCACAAAAACCCACAAGTGGAAGTGCGGTTCAAGGCTCTATCCTTGAGCTCAAAAGCTCAGGGACAGTGCCCAGGCCCAGGGTTCAAGCCTAGGGCTGGCAAAAAGCAAAGTAAAAGTAAAAGAACGAAGGAAGGAAGGAAAAATTTGAGCTCCTTGCTGGTTAATAGTGTTTACTTGAAATCAGAAACTTACAGAAATTTTGATGAACTACTCTGTGTCCCATACCACTTCTCATTCCATGTGTACGAGGTCGCAAATATTGCTGTCTGATGATTTAATGTGGCAGCCAGCTGGGACACCTGTGGCTCAAGCCTGTAATCCTAGCTACTCAGGAGGCTGACATCTTAGAAGTATGGTTCAAAGCCAGCCAGAACAGGAAAGTTCATAGTTCATGAGAATCTTTTCAATTAACAACCACCCAAAAAGTTGGAAGTGGAGCTGTGGCTCACGTGGTAGAATGCCAGCCTGAGTTTAAGCATAGGAAACAGCACACAGACACACAGACGAAAGGCAGCCAGGTGCCTCGTTCTCTCCTCCTTTTGCTTTGGTGCTTATTTTATTTTGGTTTATTATTTGATTCTCCACTCTAAGTTCCAAGAGGGTTGTGATGTGGTGTTGATCATCACTGTGTCCTAACCTCTGTTCTGCCCACCTGATCCTTCCACCTGGATGCCATCTCTCACTATCATTTCACATCATCCTCTTCTCTCTCAACCCACAGAGTGGGCTTCATGTGTCTCATCTGTCTAGAGAGGAAAGACACAAGGATAACCCTGAGGGCTTCCCACTAGTACAAAGTAAGCATTTTAAGATGGCTAGGGTTTTCCTTTTTTGTTCTTGTTTGATGCCAGGACTGAGGCTTGAACTTAGGGCCTGGGTGCTGCCCCATGGGTTTTTTGCTCAAGGCTAGCACTCTACCACTTGAGGCATATGCCAAAGTCCAGCTATTTTTTTTGGGGGGGTGGTCATGGGACCCGAACTCTGGGCCTGGGCACTGGCCCTCAGCTCTTCAGTTCAAGGCTAGCACTCTACTGCTTGAGCCACAGCACCACTTCTGGGTTTTTCTGCTTATGTGTTGCTGAGGATTCGAACCCAGTACCTCATGTATGCAAGGCAAGCACTCTACCACTGAGCTACCTTCCCAACCCCACTTCCAGCTATTTTATTTTGTGCATGTATGCCAGTCCTGGGGCTTAAATTCAAGGCCCAGCCACTGTCATTGAAGATTTTTTTTTCCTCCTCAAGCCTAGCACTCTTACCAATTGAGCCACAGCACCACTTCCAGCTCTTTAGTGGTTAATTGGAGATAAGAATCTAATGGAGGGCTGGGAAGGTGGCTCAGTGTTAGAGTGCTTGCCTTGCATACATGAGGCCCTGGTGCTCAGCACCTCATAAACAGAAAAAGCCAGAAGTGGTGCTGTGGCTCAAGTGGTAGAGTGCTCACCTTGAGCTGAAGAGCTGAGGGACAGTGCCCAAGCCGAGTTTAGGCCCCCACAACCGGCAAAAGAAAAAAAAAAGAATCTAATGGACTGGGGCTGGGAATGTGGCTTAGTGCTAGAGTTCTTGTCTAGCATTCACAAAGTCCTGGGTTCAATTCCTCAGCACTACAAAACAGAAAAAGCCAGAAGTGGCTCTGTGACTCAAGTGGTAGAGTGCTAGCCTTGAGCAAAAAAGCTCAGGGACAGTGCTCAGGCCTGGAGTTCAAGCCCCAGGACTGGTAAAATAAACAAAGAATCTAATAACTTTCCTGCTCAGGCTGGTATTGAACAGTGACTAAGATTACAGGTGTGAGCCACCAGTACCTAGCCACTTCCCCGCTTTTTGATGGTTAATGGGGGAGAAGTCTCACAGACTTCCCTGCCCTGGCTGGCTTTGAACTTGATCCTCAGTTCTCAGTTGGCACTGGCTTGGTTTTCCTCTTGAAAATATGTCACCAGCCAGGCGCCCTTGGCTCACACCTGTAATCCTAGCTACTCAGAAGGCTGAGATCTGAGGATTGCAGTTCTAAACCAGCCCAGGCAGGAAAGTCCATGAGACTCTTATCTCCAATTAACCACCAAAAAACCAGAAGTGTCACTGTGGCTCTAGTGGTAGAGCACTTGACTTGTCTTGAGCTGAAGAGCTCAGGGACAGTGTCCAGACCTGAGTTCAAGCTCCACAACCAACAGCAACAACAAAAAAAGTCAGAAGCCAGGAATCTGATTTCCAGCAGGGCCTCAGACATGTCACTGCTCTCCCACAAGAGGCTAAGTGTTTGCCTGTTTCCCTGGAGGCTGTATTCAGGAGTCTATCTTTTCTCAGAAATGATTTATTTGAAGATTGATGCTATACTTCGCATTAGTTTTATTTGGTAGTACAGGGGTTTGAACCTAGGGCCTCACAAAACTGCCCCCAGCCCTTTTTACTTTAGTTTATTTTTTCCAAAGAATCTCACACTTTTCCCAGCCCAGATTTGGATCCCTGATCTTGCTACTTTTGCCTTCTGAGTTATCTGGAATTACAGGCATATACCACCCGACTTGATAGGATCCTCCCAACTCATTTTGTGATTGTGTATGTGTGTGTGTGCATGTGTATACTGTGGTTTAGACTGGCCCTGACCTTCCATTTTCCTATCTGCACTTCCAGAATAGCTGGGATTATAGCTGTGAATCACCACATCCAGCCTCATGCTTCACCACAAAACATTAAAATGTTTATTTTTTGGTTGGTCAGGTGGCTTGAACTCTGGGCCTGGGCACTGTCCCTCAGCTCTTCAGCTCAAGGCTAGCATTCTACCACTTGAGCCAAAGGGCCACTTCCAGCTTTTTCTGCTTATGTGGTACTGAGGAATTGAACCCAGGGCCTCATGAATGCAAGGGAAGCACTTTTACCACTGAGCCACCTTCCCAGCCCTCTGGGAGACTCTTATCTCCAATAAACCACTCAGAAAACCGGAAGTGGCAACGTGGCTCAAGTGATAGAGTGCTAGACTTGAGCAGAAGAGCTGTAGGACAACGCCCAGGCCGAGTTCAAGCCCCATGACCAACAAAAAAAAAGAAAGAAAAAGCCAGAAGTGGTAGAGCACTAGAAGCTCAGGGACAGTGCTCAGACCCTGAGTTCAAGCCCCAGGACTGTCAGGGGAAAAAAAAAAAATAAAAGAAAAAAAATAGGAGGCCAGGCATGATGGCACATGGAGGTAGAGGGAACCTGTCCCCATCTGCTATTAAAACAAACAAACCAGAAGTGATATAGTCACATGTATTTGTTATAAATTAGGTCACATTCTCCCCAGAGAAAATCCAGGGAGGTAAAGCAGTCAGGTGGCCCTGGGGCCATGGCCAGGGGGCCTGGGGCAAAGTCACAGGTAAGGCTGATCCTTGGATAACTCCCACCTCTTCATAGGAGGAGCAGGCGTTATGGCCTTCTTCTCTGTGGCTTCAACCTCTGAGCTGGAAAAAGACAGACTTGTGTTAGGGTAGGTTTCCAAAGAACAGTGCAAAACCAACAGAACCTCTGCCCTATTTGTCTCTCTCAAAGTTTCAAGTTATGGTCAGAACTCTTTCTCTCTCTCTTCCCCCCTCCCCCACTCTCTCGCTGGTACTAGGGCTTGAACTCAGGATCTCACACTCTTACTTGGTTTCTTTGCAAAGGCTGATGCTCTATCACTTCAGCCATACCTCCACGGCTGGCTTTTTGCTGGTTAATATGAGATAATAGTCTTATGGATTTCTCTGCTTCCCCTCCCCACCCTAGCACTGAACTGAGATCCTTAGATCTCAGGCTCCTGAATAGCTAGGATTATAGGTATGAGCCACCAACACTCCAACACTCCTGCAGTGTCAGAATTTTTCTTTTTTCTTTTGTCGGTTGCAGGGCTTGAACTCCGGGTCTGGGTGCTGTCCCTTAGCTCTTCAGCTCAAGGCTGGCATTCTACCACTTGAGCCACAGTTCCACTTCCAGTTTTCTGGTGGTTAAGAGTCTCATGGGGACTTTCCTGCCCGGGATGGCTTTTAACTATGATCCTCAGATCTCAGCCTCCTGAGTAGCTAGGATTACAGGCAGGAGTGACCGGCATCTAGCAAGTGTCAGAACATTTTATCAGACCTTCAACATCCTACTCAAGGCCTTTCACAGCTATCCCTGTTACCTGCTGGGTGGCAGTTTACAGCCCTCTGCTCCTTCCTGGCCTTCTTTCTGAATCTCCTCATCCTTTGCCCCAACCAGATTCTGGGCCTGGGCTCTGTCTTTGAGCTTCTTTTGCTCATGGATAGTGCTCTATCACTGGAGCCAAGGAGTTACTTCCAGCTTTTTCTGAGTAGTTTATTAAAGAGTCTCATGGACTTACTTTCCTGCCCAGACTAGCTTTGAACCATGATCCTCAGATCTCAGCCTCCTGAGTAGCTAGGATTATAGGCTTAAGCCACCAGCACCTCATGTTTTTTTTCTTTTTTGAGACTGAGTCTCACTGAAGCCCAGGCTGGTCTTGAACTCTTGATCAGTCTGGCTCAGCCTGGAAAGTGCTGCGATTATATATGTGTACCTCCATGCCTGGTTGATTGATAGATAAGATGGAGGGGGTGAGGAAGGGCCAATGATAGATCCATGCACAGCTGTGGATAGGTGCTGCTGGAGTTCCTCACCTCGCTGCCGTCTTGCCTGCCACCAGCACCTTTTGGGAGGTCATGACAATGGACGGGGGCACAACTTCCCGGCGGCCATCACGAGTGCAGTAGTAATTGTTGGAGAGCTTGTGGCTGGGGCCCACAGGGAGCTTGGGAGGTGGCTGAGTCCTGGGGAAAAAGAACATGGGTACTGAAGCAAACCAAGGAATCTTCTTACCGTCTACAGCCAGGAGCACGGGTAAAAGACTGCAGGCATCCTGGTTATACCATCACAGATGTGAGCTTGGGGAAGAGTAGCAGACTCTGCTCTGGACATGTAAAGGTTACAAAGCCAAGTTCCCCCAGACCCAAGTCTTAAACAGTGAAGTCCACAGGGCTTGCACACTGTGATGCTCTCACAACAGAAGCAGGTGGAGACACATTCCCACCCCCAATCCACAGCTGAGCTGGGCAACTAACCTCACCTCTGCCAGTCCCCACTAGACACTCAGGAAACCAGGGGACCAGAGTACCAGACTGTGACCACCCCCTACACCCTTATCCAGCAGTTAGTCTATAAATCCCTGTATAGCAGCCCCACACTGCATCTTGCTCTTTGAGTTTTCCTGGCTGGCTCTGATATCAAGGGCCAGACTCAGAAGCCCTGAGTTTGCTCTAATCTCAGGAACTCTTTGAGGAACCTGCTGGGATCAAGGCTTATTACCCAAAGAATACCTTGCCCTTGAAGCCTTGCCAGGTGTCTCCATTTCCTGCTACCAAGAGATTGGATGCCAAAACCCAAAACTTCCTGCATCCAGATGGACTGAAACAAAGCTCAGTCTCCATTTAGACTCAATTCTGGGCTGAACTTCATAAGAAGCCAGAAGCCTTAAAAGGAAATAATGAACTCCAAACAAAAGAGGAGCTTCCCAGCTAAAGAGGAAGAAAGTAGAAAAGTGGGGAAAACATCAGAGATCTGAATTTATTTTATTGTTGGTTGTGGGGCTTGAACTCAGGGCCTGGGCACTGTCCCTGAGCTCTTTTGCTCAAGGCTAGCACTCTATCACTTGGAGACACAGCTCCAATTCCAACTTTTTTTGGTAGTTTGCTGAAGATAAAAGTCTCATGTCATGGATTTTCTTGTCCTGGGCTGGCTTTGAATCAAGATTCTCAGATCTGGCCTGGGAAGGTGGCTCAATGGTAGAGCACTTGCCTTGCATGTCTGAGGCCGGAAGTGGTGCTGTGGCTCAAGTGGTAGAGCGCTAGCCTTGAACTGAAGATCTGAGGGACAGTGCCCAGGCCCAGAGTTCAGGCCCCACGACCGGACCCCCCCCCAAAAAAAAAAGATTCTCAGATCTCAGCCTCCTGAGTAGCTAGGATTACAGGTATGAGCCATCGGCCCCTGGCTTTTTTTTTTTTTTTTGTCAGTCATAGGGCCTGAACTCTGGGCCTGAGTGCTGTCCCTCAGCTCTTCAGCTCAAGGCTAGCACCCTACCACTAGAGCCACAGTGCCACTTCCGGCTTTTTCTGCTTATGTGGTGCTGAGGAATCAAACCCAGGGCCTCATGCATGCGAGGCAAGCACTCTACTACTGAGCCAACTTCCCAGCTCACTACTGGCTTGTAAATCCTTTTGTATCAACCTACTAAGTACTGATATTCAGGTGTTCACTACCATTCTTCTTCTATTGTGGAATTGTTTTGGGTTTTTTTGGGGTGCCTATACTGGGGCTTGAACTCATGGCCTCACACTCTCATTTGACCTTTTCACCCGAGGCTGATGGTCTACCACTTAAGCCACAACTCAACTTCCAGCTTTTTAAAAAACTGCTATTATATAAAGGCTACGTACAGAGGAGTTACATAAGTCACGTAAAGAGTACATTTCTGCTCATGCCTGTAATTCTAGCTACTCTGGAGGCTGAGATCTAAGGATCATGGTTCAAAGCCAGCCAGGGCAAGAAACTCTCTGAGACTCTGATCTCCAATACACTACTAGAAAACCAGAAGTGGTGCTGTGGCTCAAGTGGTAGAGTGCTTGCTTAAGAGAGCAGGGAAATCGCCCAGGCCCAGAATTAAAACCCCAGAACAACAACAACAACAGCAACAAAAAAAGTACATTTCTGTTTGGACAATGTCACCCACCCCTTGCTATCTCCTAGTTAATGTCCAGCTTTTTGCTGGTTAATTGGGAACAAAAAAGGTCTCACAAATTTGTCAGCCCAAGCTGGCTTTGAACTGTGATTCTCAAATTTCAGCTTCCTGAGTGGCTAGAATTACAGGTATGGGTGCCCAGTTGTATTTCTTATTTTAAAAATACAAAGTCTAAGGTTGGTAATGTGGCTTAGTGGTAGAATGCTTACCTAGCATGTATGAAGCCCTGGGTTTGACTCCTCAGTACCACATAAACAGAAAAAGCTGGATGTGGCACTGTGGCTAAAGTGGTAGAGTGCTAACCTTGAGCAAAAGAAGCTCAAGGAGAGTGCCCAGGTCCTGAGTTCAAACCTCTGAACTGGCAATAAATAAATACAAAGTCTAGGAAGCTTTAATGCTTAATTCCTGCATGAGAACCAGCTAGCATTTCTCTTAATTTTGTCCTGTTATGCTAAAATCCTTCTAAAGGGCTGGGAGTATGGCATAGTGGTAGAGTGCTTGCCTAACATGCATGGAGCTCTGGGGTCAGTTCCTCAGTACTACATACACAGAGAAAGCCAGAAGTGGCACTGTGGTAGAACCCTAGCCTTGAGCAAAAGAAACTCAGGGCCAGTGCCTAGGCTCCGAGTTCAAGCCCAGGACTGGCAAAATAAATAAATAAAAATAAAATCCTTCTGAAAAATTATTATTAGGATCCGGCTGAATTCAGGACACTTTTGGTTTCAACCCCTAGCTGTCAGTTTCTAGTTTTGAAGTGACTGTTGGCAAGATTTAACTCTTTTTCCCCCCCATCTGTGTTTTGGGGACAAAGCACTTAACTTAGAATTCCTTATTCCAACAACCCAGAATGAACGAGGGGTGGGTTCCCACAAAGTTCAGGAAGATGTTTGCCTCCACCCCCTGGCAAATGGCTGGAGGAAGGAACTCTGCCCAGTGTGCTCCAGGCATCTAAAGGACCCGGCTCGGTTTAGGGGTGCGCAGGGACTTCGGGGGGGGGAGGTGTCAGCGAGCGGGGCCTGCTCACCGCTTGGCGATCTCCTGGTAGCGCAGCTGCAGCTTCGCCTGCAGGTTTTGCTGTGGGAGAAGGAGAAAGGAGGTTCAGCCTGCAAGGCACCTCACGAGAGGAGCCGGGGTATCAGCTTGCAGGGCACCCCACGAGAGGAGACGGGGGCTTGAGCAAGGGTCCGGCTAACGTGAGTGATGAAGAGTGGGAGCGGGAGTGGGTTTGGGGTCCACGGAGCCCACAACCTCCCCAGCGATGCCCTCCTGCTCTCCCGGCGCACCCCGGACGCCCAGTTCCTCAGTCTCTGAATAATGGTAGTAGCAGACGCCATCTCTCCCTTGCGCTGAAGGACGCCCGTGACGTCTCTCTCGCGGGTATTTCTGGGAAACTCCCCACGTAGTGTCGCGAGAACGGAAGTGGGCGTGGCCAGCACGCGGTATAAATACTTGCCCCGGACCACGTGATTCCTCTCCGCCAGACCGCCGCAGCCGCCATTATGGACACGAGTCGTGTGCAGCCCATCAAGCTGGCTAGGGTGAGGCGGGAGCCCGACTTGGGGGAGCTGGGAAAGGGAAAAAAAGCGTAGGAAAGCGGGGTGAGCCGGATCTGACGGTAGCTTCCTCCTCTGTGTGTGCCGATTCTGGGGCTTGAACGCAGGGCCTGGGCTCTGTCTGAGTTTTTGTGCTCAAGGCTGCCGCTTTACTACTTGAGCCACGCCTCTACTCGACCTTTTGCTGGTTAATTGGGGATAAATCGCTCGCACTTTCTTGCCCGGGCTGGCTTTGAATTGCTATCCACAGATCTCAGCTTCCTGTCGTGAAACACCGGCGTCCGGCCTGACATGTAGCTTCTTTTCTCTAGGTCACCAAAGTGCTGGGCAGGACCGGCTCTCAGGGACAGTGCACACAGGTGAGTGTTGGGCACTCCGATGAGTTCCTGGGTTCTGATCCCCTTATGACAGATCCGTGGCAGATGGAACTTGAGAAATAGTTTACTGTGTCCGGGATCCGGCCCTCTCCCCGACGCTGCCAGGGCATCTGCGTCGGAATCCTTAATGGACTTCTCACGCCATGCTAACAACGACCCACCCTAACTTCTTCCTGCTCTTCCGGTGGGCTCGTAGGTACGAGTAGAATTTATGGACGACACCAGCCGCTCCATCATCCGAAACGTGAAAGGCCCCGTGCGGGAGGGCGACGTACTCACGCTGTTGGAGTCGGAACGAGAAGCTCGGAGGTTGCGCTGAACTTCGGTGCTGGTGGGTGCAGAACCTGCTCCTGTGAGACCTTTGGTTAACCCGTGGGTAGAGGGTTTGGGGAGACAGAAGGGAACCGCAGAGTCTGGCAAGAGGGACTCTGCCATTTGGCCGGGGGTCTATCGCAGCTCATGCTTATGTCTGTTTACAGGGTCCTGGATATACACATCTATTTGGCCCTCGGGATGACCTGCAACTGTTAAATAAAGTGTTTCTTTATATGCCAATTTAGGTGTTTTTTTTTTTTTTAATTTTTGGCAGCACTAGGGTTTGTTCCCATCCCTCTCCCCCAGCTCTTCTTTAGTTTTTTCAGCTAGGGTCTTGAATTTCTGCCCAGGCCAATCTGGACCTCTAGCTATTATAACAGATCTGTTCCTTTCATACTCTGCTTGGTTGAGATGAGGTCTTGCAAACTGCTTTTGACTGGCTTGTCTCAAACCTTGATGTTGTCTGCATCCAGGTAGCTGAGATTACAGATGTGAGATAGTACCAGCTTAAACACTGGCTGGGGTTTATATTGGCCCTGGCTTTTGGGCTTCAAGTTGACTTAGGCCTTCTGCATGCCTTGAGAATACGGTTTTCCCAACAAGAGGAATCATGTGTTGTGTGTCCCCAGTCCCACTGCCCCTCAGATGAAACACATGCTTAGAAGAAAAGCTTTATTAGGAAAAAAGAAAACAACTTAGTGAATGGTGGGGCAGAAGCTGTGCCATTCCTTAAACCCACCTCACCTTGGGGGGGTCCAGGTGAGCCTTTCCTGGCACTGAACAACTGGAACTGCGTTTCTGTATAATGAGCATCTGGACAGAGCATCTGGGCCTATCTCTGACCCAGAGGCACTGGCTGAGAGGACATTTGGCATTGGGTCTGTTGGCTGATCACTGAGGCTGCGAGTCCTCTCCATGGTCACTGCATTCTCCTTGAGCAGGTGTGGTTGTGTGGGACTCTGGGAGTGACTGGCACTAGAGAAAAGGGAAGAGGTGCTATTTGGGTCTCTTACAGGTGGGGAGGGTGGCTTTCACCTCCTAGGCTTATGGATGTGGAATCTGGCAGAAGTCTCTTCTGTGAAGGAAAAACCTACCCTTTATTGTGGTTCTCTTGGTTGGAATCACAATTCTGCCTTTGTGTGATGTGGAGGAGCACTTGGTCCTCTAGTTCCTCATCTCTACAGTGGGGTAGGTGTAGGGTGATGGCAGGTTGGGAGATTGGTAAATATGCTGAGGATAGCCTGAGACTTGCTGTCCAAGTAGACTCTACCCCTTGGGTATGGTCTTCCCCCGGGGCCTGGCACTCCACACCCTGTGATAGTCTGCTAGGGGCCCGGAGCGGTAGCTGACCAACAAACTAGGTATGACTTTAATATGCTTCATGGAGTTCATAGGACAAATAACCAAGTCCTAAGCATGAGAATCCTCTGCAGGAAGGTGGGCCTGGGGGTGTCACCGTTTTAGCATCCTTGGGTCTGATTGGTCTAACAGCCCAGATGCTGTTAATTTGACCACACTCACCTGGGAGTCAGGTTGGCTGGTGCTCAGGTGTGCATGCAGCAGAGCTGCCACCTCATCCTGCTCAGCCTCCAGGGCAATGGCCAGGGCACTGGTTCCCTCCTGAGGAATAGTGGAACATCAGGTCCCTGAGCCACTGGTGGGCACACAGGATCCCCAAGCCTACTCCACGGTAGCAGCTTACATTGTCCAGGATGGCAGGATCGCAGCCTGGTTGGGCCAGCAGCAGCCGAACAGTGTCCAGGCGTCCATACTCGCTGGCACACATCAGTGCAGTGGCCCCATCTGCATCCTGTGTGTTGACATCGGCCCCGCATTCCAGCAGGGCTGCCACCATGTCCTGGCGCCCATGGGTGATGGCCAACATGAGGGCTGTCTGTCCTGTCTGGGAAATGGGGAAGAAGACATAGCTGGAGCAGGGCCTGGGAGAAGAGGTCAGGGGCTGGGCTTAATGCTCAAAGTGAAAAGTGACACCACCACCACCCCACCCCCCGACCCCCAACTTGGTCAGAGTAGGATCATCCACATACCTGGCTGGCTTTGGCATTGACATCGCCCATGCTGAAGAGCCTCTGGATTACAGTCATGTCTTCTTCCTGCCTTGCAGAGGTGAGCGCAGCCAACATGAGTGCCGAGTAGCCAGCTCGGTTCTGCTGGTTGACCTCACAGACTCCTAAGAGGGACAAGAGTTGGTCAAGCCCTGTTCCCTCGGCCTCAGTGCTCTCTTCAACACTGGTTCCCACTTCAGTCTAGTGAAGTCTTAGGGACTGTATTTTCTCAAAGACTTGAGGCACATAGTAGGTGCTCAGTGCACATCTGTTGGCTGAGTTAATTGGGTATTTTTGTTATCCTTATTTCACTGGAGAAATTAAGGGTGGTCTAGGTACCTGCCTGTTTAAACCTCCTGGTCTAAGTCCAGGATGTCAACTATATCCTACCATGAGCTATAAGACTAGCTCTAGTGATTTCTCTAGAATCCCCAAATAGGTGTTGACATGTCTGGTAAGAAGATATGTCAGGTTAGGTGCCAGTGGCTCCTGCCTGTAATCCTCGCTACTCAGGAGCTGAGATCTGATGATTACAGTTAGAAGCCAGCTCAGGCAGGAAGGTCCATGAAACTTAGCTCCAATTAACCACCAGAAAGCTGGGAGTGGTGCTGTAGTAAGTGTTAAAGTGCTAGCCTTGAGCAAAGAAATGACTGTCTTGGCCCTGAGTTAAAATCCTAGGAGTGGCACACAGAGGTATATCAAAGTTGCTGGGCACCTACCTAATGTAGTCAGCTGAGATCTGGAGGATTGAAATTTAAAGCCAACATGCATAGAAAAGTTTTCAAGAAGCTGGGTGCTGGTGGTTCACACCTATAATCCTAGCTACTCAAGTGGCTGAGATCTGAGGATCAGGGTTCAAAGCCTGCCTGGACAAAAAAGACCTGTGAGACTAATATCCAATTAACCACTCAAAAACCAGAAGTGGTGCTGTGGCTCAATGTGGTAGAGCCACCAGCCGTGAGCAAAATTTGCTCAGGAACAGCACCTAAAAACAGAGCTGGTGATATGGTTCAAGTTGTTGGGTGTCAGTCAAGTTAGTATGAAGCCCTAAATTCAAACCCCACTATTCAGAAAGATGTCAATGTCCAATCTCCTGGTTCCTGTATGACTCTTTGGAAATGACTATATACAAAATCAAATTGGGGAGTGGTCATTACTGGTAGGCCCTGATCTAAATATAACTGTCCTAATCAGGGAATAGAAAATAATGTCATGCAGTGATGGAGAGAGTGACAGTTGCCACATGGAAAGGAATGGTCCCTGGTAAAACCGTTTTCCCAAAGCTAGGAGGGTTATTGAACAGATTGAGCCTCCAAAAAGTAACCAGCTGGTGAATGACTAGACTGAACTGAAATAAGTTTATTAAGCTGTCCACGTGGTTATTCTGTTCATCTTCCTCTCAACCCCCACTGGTCATGGGGCTTGAACTTGGCCTGGTCACTATCCCTGGGCTCCTTTTGCTCAAGCCTAGCACTCTACCACCTGATCCACAGTGCTACCTCTGGCTTTTTCTGTGATTAATTGAAGAGTCTCACTTTCCTCCCTGTGCTGGCTTCAAACCCTGCTCCTCAGTTTTCAGCCTCTTGAGTAGCTAGGATTGCAGGGGTACCCAGCTAATTCTGGCCATCTATTTTTTTTTGGGGGGTGGTTAGTTGTTGGACTTGAACTCTGGGTGTGGGCACTGTCCCTCAGCTCTTCAGCTAAAAGTGAGGGCCACAAAACAACGTATGGTTTTCTGGTGGTTAATTGGAAAAAAGTCTCATGGCTATTCCTGCCCAGGCTGGTCTTGAACTGTGATCCTCAGATCTCAGCCTCCAGAGTAGCTAGGATTACAGAGCCACTGGTACCCAGCTTCTGAGCTTTATTTTTTGCTCTAAGCACTCTACGACTTAAACTAAACGTCAACTTTGTTTTTTTTTACTAATTAGAGGTGAGTCTCACAAACTTTCCTGCATAGGCTGGCTTCAAAATTTGATCTTCAGATCTCAGCTTCTTGAGTAGCTGAGATTACAGGTGTGAGCACTAGAGCACCTAGCCAAAATAATCTAGAAATTGGTAGGTAGGGACAGTGATGGCCTATGGTCCATTCCACCCCAGTATTCCCTGATGCAGAGGGGAAGTGGCTGAAAGCCGAAGGCAGGTGGGTGGGGGAGAGCACCCCAGTGCTTTGAAGGGGGTGTTGTCAGTGCCTTAACAAGTGAGTACCTTCCCTAGAAGCTGGAGATGAAGGGACAGAGGGCCTAGTGGCCATTTATTGAGCTACTTCTTGCCTGGCAGTTTTGAGGGTGTTGTCACAGCTGCACAGGGAGGGAGGGGTTACTGCCCCTATTTTGGATGAACAAGTTAAAGCTAGCAAGAGTTAGGCCATGCCCTAATTGAGTTCTGTTTGGTCCCAAAGCTGTGTATCAGTGCAGAGCTGAGGCTGTGGTGGATCAAAAAACCCTTAGCAGCAGTTTATGCCTGTAATCCCAGCTGAGATCTGAGGATCACAATTTGAAGACAACCCAGGAAGGATCCCTGAAACTCTTCAATTAACTACCAAAAAGCTGGAAGTGGAGCTGTGGCTCAAGTGGTAGAATGCTAGTCTCAAAAAAGCTTAAGGACAGTGCTTAGGCCTTGAGTTCAAACCCCAGGATTGGCACACATACACAACCTTTAGCAATCTATCCATCCAGGAAGAAATCTTGTTAACCGGAGGAAAGCCCGGTGGTGCCCTCTGCCGGTCATCCTTTTTTTCTTCATTTCCTCCTATCAAGGTCCCCCAACCCTGGCCCTCCTTTTACTCTTTGTGGCTCTAACCGGTATCCAGCAGCAAGCTAGAGATAGCCAGGTTCCCGTGAGACACGCTGTAGTGCAGAGCCGTGTTCCCGTTGCCATCAGCCAGGTTCACCACGTGTGCCAGCAGCTCGGGTCCCAGGCTTACCACCCCGCGCAGCATCCTGGCGACAGGCTCAGCCTGGGAGCGCCGCTGGCTGGACACTCGAAACCACTCCTGGGCCACCAGACGTGCGGCGCTCTGCAGGGGACAAAGGTATCCACGGGGGTCCAAGGCCGAGTGGCTGATATAGGGGGCGAGGTGACGGCCCCTTTGGTGACCTTGGTGGTAGGGGAGACTTCCAGAACCCAGGCCGAGGACTTGGGGTCACCCCCCCAAATCATGGGGGATCTCAGGGGAAGCGGTGAGTACTTGCCATTTTGGGAGTCCAGGAGTGGAGCTAGGGCTTGAGGGGGTGTTTGGGGGTGGGGGAGGTAACAAGGAAATAGCAGCGCTTGCCCTGGGACAGAGATGGCTTTGGAAAGCCTGGGACCAGGTCAGCCTGAGCTTGGAATTCCCACTCTAGGAATGCGGTGCGCTTCCCTGAGACAGTCAGGGAAGGGCCTCGGTGGGGACCTCCCCCTCCAGAAATGGGGTCCCCTACACTCACGCTGCCATCGCGGGTGCCTCCGCGGTGCCGGCTCAGCTGCCTACGTAGTGCGATGCATGCCTCCCTCAACCGCGGGCTCAGCTCGCACCTGCGGGGAGGCAGGGCGAGGCTCAGGAGGAATCTGGGGGCGATCGGGAGGAGGGCAGCTCCCGCCCGCCCCCCGCAACACACATTCTAGACCTCTGGAGCCACACACCTCTCCTGTGACTCTGGCTGAGGCTCTGATTGTGCTTCAGGCTCCGTGTCCCCCTCAGCATCTTCATTGGGAGGACCAGGGGTGTCTGGGTCAGAGTCCCTACCGCTCTCATCCCCGGTGTCGGAAGAGTTGTTTTGGGGGGGTTCAGCATTGCCTTCAATGTCGCTGTCATCGCTGGATGAGCTCTCATACCTGGGGACAGGAAGGAGGGGGGTTTGTTGAGGGTCCCTAGGGGTGAAGGAGATTGAAGACTGCACGTGGCGACCAGAGGGACATCTGGGATTCACCGCCCGTCTATGTCCCCACAGCTATTGCCATTGGGAAAGGGAAATCTGCTCACTTTCCGTTGGAGACCCCTACAAACTTCAGGCTCTTGGGTCCAGGACTGGACTGGGCACTAGGCGTACCGTCTCTCCTCTTCATGATGGATTTGAGGGTGCCTGGCAGAGATCAGAAGAGGGCTCTGAGTTTGAATCCTGCAGACAGCCCACTAGGGCTTACTTAGCTAGGGGTGCAGCAGTTCAGGGACTCACTGGCGGGGGCCTCGGCCTTATCCGCTGACATGGGTCCAGGCAGGTTCTCCAGAGTCAAAGCGGTGGACTCGGTCTGTGTGGTCTTCTCTGCACAAACCCAGGGAGTCTGGGTGGCGGCCTCACGCGGCTGGGACCCGGTCTCCAGAGCCTCATCCACCTCCACCGCCATGCGGGCCTCCAGCTCCTGCAATCGGATCTGGAGGAGTTCGCTCACCCCGCGCTGGTGCTCCAGGCTGGCGCGCAGCAGCTCCAGCTCGCGCTCTGCAGCCTCGGGCAGCCCCAGCAGTGACTCGGTCACCCACGCGTCCGCTTCAACGGTCTTAGGGACCGCATCCACGCCGGCCTCCCGGATCTCAGGCACGGCCTGAGTACCGGTCTCTCGAGTCTGGTACAGAGCCTCGGTGCCCGCCTCCTGGATCTGGGGCGCCCCATCGGGGATCAAGGCCGCCCCGTCTAGGATTTGGAGCGAGCCCTCGCTGCGCCTTGCAGCCAACCCGTCGGAACTGTCAGCCCGGAGGCTGGCCCTGGAGCGGACTCCACGGTCGGGGATGGCTAGACGTTCGGTGAGCCGCCGCAGCTGGGCGAGCTTGTCAGGGCGTGCCTCGGTTTCCTCGTCGGCCTCTGGCTGCTGCGCGCGCACGGCCAGTAGCTGTGCCTTCTCGGCGCGCAGGGCGCGCACTTGCTCCCGGAGCTCGGGCAGTGCGCGCGCCTGGTCCTCCAGCTCGCGCAGGCGCCGCAGCGCCAAGGCCATCTGCTCCCGCACTCGCTGGAGTTGAGCGGGGCCCGGAGAGGCGGGGGCGGGGCTGGGGGAGGGGCTTCCGCGGCGGGACCCCCGCGGGCTGCGCTGGGCCGAGCCGGAAGGGCTGAGCGCTCGCTCGTGAGCCTGGGCCTGCTCCAGGCGCCGGCTGGTCTCCAGCAGCGTGTGCTCCACTCGCGGGTTACGCACGAGTGTGCTTGGTGACAGCGGTGGCAACAAGAGCCCCGGGGATGCCCGTGGGGAGAGGGCACCCAAAGCTCCTCCGTCGTCACTGGCTAGAGACTCGCTGGAGGTCCAGGCTCCTGGGCTGCGCACCCCCGCGAGGCCCGGCCGGGACGCGCGGGGACGACGCGGGGGCGGTGGAGGTACCGGTGCCCGGCGCGCCGCGGGGCCGCGCTCCAGCTCTTCCACGTACTTAAGGAAGTCCAAGTCCAAATGGAAGCCGTACGGTGTTTCCACCGAGTAAGGCGAGCTCGGGCTGCGGGCACTCCCAGAAGGGACTGTGCACAAGTGAGGACCGCCCAGGTCTGAAGGTGTGACAGGAGGGGGATGGGGATGGCAGGCATCAGGCCCAGGAGTCCTCAGAGAGAAGGGACATTTGTAGGCAGCCCACCCCCATATCCCTACCATGCATCTGCATGCATACCCACCCAATCCTCACAGCTATCTGCGCCCAAATAAGCATGCAATCGTGCGTTTATTGAGCACCCATTGGGACTCTACAACTTTTTTCTTTCTTTCTCTCTTTTTTCTTTTTGTTGGTCTTGGGCTTGAACTCTGGGCCTGGGCACTGTCTCTGAGCTCTTCAGCTCAAAGCGAGCGCTCTACTACTTGAACCACAGAAAATCACTTCTGGTTTTCTGTTGGTTCATTGGAGAGATTAGAGTCTCACGGACTTTCTGGCCTGGGCTGGCTTTGAACGGCGATCCTCAGATCTCAGCCTCCAGCTATAATTTTTCTATATACAGCAGTCAGCAAGAAAAATATCTGTAGCTGGGTGCTGGTGGCTCATGCCTGTAATCCTAGCTACTCAGAAGGCTGAGATATGAAGATCCTGGTTCAAAGCCAGCCTGGGCACACAATCGAAGAGACACATCTCCAATTAACGAGCAAAAGGCTGGAAGTAGAGTTCTAGCTCAAGTGGTAGTATACCAGCCGTGGGCAAAAAAAGTCAGGTGAGTGTGAGGCCCTAAGTTCAAGTCCCAGTGCTGGAGCAGGCGCGCAGTACACACACATGAAGAAAAGGAGGAGGAAGATGAGGAGGAAGAGGCAGGGGGCACTGCTGGGCTGTACATGAACACACACCAGCTGTGGTCTGGCCTCACACATCCCATTTTGCACACTCACCAGGAAGATTCTGATTCAGGGCAAACTTGGCCATGATTCTTGGAGTAGCTGTCAGACACAACCTAAAGAGAAAAAAAAAAGCCCACAGAGAAATGAAGGTAGGGTCCCAGCCCTGTTCCTCCAGCTTGAACAGATCCAAGGGCTTTTCTCCTCACATTCATCCTCCAATCTTCCTCACAGGCCCTTTCCTTCCTCCTCCCTAGAGAGACTTTGAAGTTTAGGATTCTGGTAGAGACCCCCAGGTTCCAGCCTGGGCAAGATCAGAAGCAGGAAAGTATTAAAGAAAGGAAGATGATTAAGAACCTAAGAATAAGCTGGGCACCAATGGATCACATCTGTAATCCTAGCTACTCAGGAGGCTGAGGTCTGAGGATCATGGTTGGAAGTTAGCCCAGGTAGGAAAGTCCATGAGACTGCTTTGTTTTTGTTGTTGTTGTCATAGGGCTTGAACTCTGGGCCTTGGTGCTGTCCCTGAGCTCATTTGCTCAAGGCTAGCACCACTTTGAGACACAGTGTCATTTCCAATTTTCTCATGGATTACTGGAGATAAGAATCCCATGGAGGGGGCTGGGAAGGTGGCTCAGTGGTAGAGTGCTTTGCCTTGCATGCATGAGGCCCTGGGTTCAATTCCTCAGAACCACATAAGCAGAAAAATTCGGAAGTGGTGCTGTGGCTCAAGTGGTAGAGTGCTAGCCTTGAGCTGAAGAGCTGAGGGACTGCGCCCAGGCCTAGAGTTCAAGCCCCATGACTGACAAAAAAAAAAAAAAGTCTCATGGTAGGTTCCTGGTCCTCAGATCTCAGCCTCCTAAGTAGTTAGGATTATAGGCATGAGCCACCGGTGCCCAGCTTCAGCTATAAGACTCATTTCCAAAATAACTAGAGAAAAGCAAGGCTGGAGCTGGGTGACAATGACTCAGGCTTGTAATCCCAGCTACTCAGGAGGCTGAAATCTGAGGATGAAGATTCCAAGCCAACCAAGCAAGGAAGTCCATGAAACTTTTAACTTCAATGAACCACCAAAAAGCTGGAAGTGGAGCTGTGACTCAAAGTAGTAGAGTGCTATCCTTGAACAAGAGCTCAGGGATAGTGCGTAGGCCCAAAATTCAAGCCCATAACTGATTTTTTTTTTAAAAGGAAGTCTGGAGGCATAGGTCAAGTGATACAGTGCCAGCTAATCAGGCATGAAGCCCTGAGTTCAACCCCAGGACTACCAAATACCAAATATACATGCGCGCGTGTGCATGCGCGCGCGCACACACACACACACACACACAGAAGTACAAGCACCCAGATGCCAATGCTCTGACTCCTCGTGAAAAAGGAGGACGGATGACTCCTTCAGTGATATCAGAGAGACTCTAAGAAAGTGAGAGACTGGGTCACATCAAATAATGTGATAGTTGGCAGAGTCAGACGTGAGTACAAGACTGGGGGATGTGGCTTAAGTGGTAGAGCACTTGCCTCGTATGTGGAAGGACCTGGGCTTTATCTATAGCACTGAGAGAGGAGGGAGAGGAAGGAGAGACAGAGACAAAAAGAGCAAGAGAGGAAGGGAGGAAAAGAATGAGGGAGGAGTAGGGGAAAGAACAAGAGGAGGAGGAGAGAAAAGGGAGACGCAAGGGAAAGAAGAGAGGGAAAAGGAGGAAGAAGGAAGAGAATGAGGGGGGCACACAGGAAGAGAAAGATGGTTTAAGGGAATTACTCCCTGCTGTGCTTGATTAATTGTCCCCCTGCCACAAACACACACCCCAGTTCTATTACCACTCACATTTCACATTTTACAGATGGAGAAAACCAAAGCACAGAGCAATGAAGTCCACTGCCTGTGGAAAAACTTCAGATTGGTTCTCCCTACCATCTGCGGGATCCCTTGTGAAAAATACCCAGCCTGCCTGTCCCACACAGTCCAGCCAGCCCCAATCTATCACCTCTCTCCTGGCCCTCTGCCTGTCTGCTTTCTGGCAATTATCCCAGCTGCCCCTTCCTGCCTCTTGCATTCCTTCTGGTCACCTGTGTGCCTGGGCACCCATCAGCCAGCTCAGTGTGGTCACTTCCTCTACTCTCCAGGAGGGAGGACCCCCTCCCCCAAACTCCTGCTCTCCAACTCTGTCCAACCTGAGCCTCTGCCATTTCCTTCTCCACTCCAAGGCCATCCAGGGCCTCTTCCAGGCCCCAAGCAGCTGTTTCCTGTCCCCTCACACTAGCTGTGAGGAGCTGGCCAGCAGGGCCACAGGGCAGTACAGAGACAGGACAGCCAGTGCTTCTCCAAACTTGTTTTCAGGAAATTGCCAGGGAAGAACTGAGTTTTGGAAAAAAAACCTGAACCAGGGGTTCAGGGGTCTAGACCTGCCTGGCTCACGGTGTGTGATTGGATCCTCTTAGCCCTCTCCTCTAGTGACCAGATTTTCACCCCCACCCCCACTCTGCCCCCAGATTCAAGGCTCTACCATGGCAAAAACAGCTGTGGGCCATCCCTAAGACCTGAACTAGTTGAGGCAGCCATAGCCAAATCTGGGCTGGATGATGGCCTCAGGGTGGTAAATAACTAGTAGTATTTTTGCCTTTTATTTCCAGTGCTGGATTCCTTATCCATGAATATTAACGTTTTGATGGATTTTGGGACTTGAACTCAAGGCCCTGAACTTGCAAGGCAGGTGCTCTACCACTTAAGCCAAGCCTCCAACCCTTTTTTGTGTTCATTATTTTTCAAATAGAGTCTCCTTTTGGGTAGGGGCTGGCTTGGACCTTTCTCTTCCTATTTTACACTTCTCAAGTAGCTGGGATGATAGGTGGTTGCCACTATATCAAGGTTTTATTGAGATTGGGGTCTTGTGAACTTCTTGTCTGGGCTGTCCATTCTCCTTCTCCTGATCTCTGTGTAGCTAAGATCATAAGCTGAGCCACTGAATTGAGTGCAGCTCAGTCCTTCTAGTATCATTTCCCTTCCCTGTGGTGCAGTTGGGAAACAGGCACACGGAGCAATCAAGGGGGGCAGAAGCAAGATTTGAGTCTCCATGTGGCTTAAGTTGCCAAATCACCACTTATATTTGACCATTTACAAAGATTCCCTTTCACAAACAGCCTGAGTGGCTCAAGCCTGTGATCCTAGCTATTCAGGAGGCTGAGATTTGAGGATTCTGGTTCAAAGCCTGCCTGGCAGACAAATCCTAGAGACAGCTGTAAGTAGATCTGTGGCTCAAGTAATAGAGCAAAGTGTCTTGAGGAAAGAAAACAAAACAAAAAACCCGCAGGGACAGCGCCCAGGCCCTGAGTTCAAGCCCCAGAATTGGCACACAGACTACGGATCCCCTTCATCTCCCAAGCAGGAGTGGGGAGCCTGGGCATGGGGACCCCCAGGCCCATGGCTCCAGGGGGCTCCAGCTTCCCGGTGATGGGGCGTGCAGGCATCCTCTTCTTTCCGCCCGGCCGTGGCTGTCAGTGCTGGATCCGGATCCTCAGCCTGAGACCCCCTTATTAGGCCATCAGAGCCGACGCCACACGCCCCCACGCCCGCCCCTGGGCCTATTTCGGGAGGCATTGCTGTGTGCCATCAGCAAACGCCTCCCGGTCTTGGGGAACCTGCGGCCCTGCCTGCCTGGGGGGTGGGGTGGCACCTCCAAACGTTGACATGGACCCCTCGAGCCCACGACACAGAAGGTGGCGAGCGGACAGATGACAGCATGAGGAGGGGGTGTGCTCAGATCCTCCCCACCCCCAACCCCTCCACCCTCACCCCCACCCCTCAACACACAGCCAGGTCAGCTTCGCAGGGACAGAACAGTTTCCTACAGGAAGAGCCTCCGGGCGGTCCCATCCGCTGCCCATTGTCCGCGGGTCCGGAGGCCGTCCATCTGTCCGTCCCTCCCCCCAACACCGTTTCCGTACCCCCTCCTTCCCCGCACCAGCGCGATCCCAGTTCCCTCCATGGTCCGGGAGTGACTCTGGGGAAGGGTCCCATAAGTAGCTCATAGGGGAAACAGGGGGATGGTTTCCTGAATTCAGAGACTCCCCTCACCTCCCTTCTCGCTTCGCTACCTACCTTGGGGGTGGGCTCCCAGGGTCTGAGGGGGTCCCGGCCTCAGGACGCAGCGTCCACCCCGTCGCAGCAAGCGGAACCTGCAAAAGTATAGGATGTGCACAGCTCCCCTCCGGTCCCGGTGCGTGCCCCGGCCACCCCCCGAAGACCTTCCCACACAGGGGACCCCGCAAGCTGGTGCAGTACCTGAAGCGGCAGCCCTGGCCGCGCCCGCACCGGAGCCCGCCCCCTCGAAGCTCGGGGGGCCGGTTATCAAGGCTTTGATCCGAACTGACGGCCATGCCAACCAACCAGCGCCCGAAGTTCTCCGATTTTGTCCAATGGTAAGGCAGGGTGGGGCGTGTGGGCGTGGTCTTATAAATAGGTGTGGTCTGGGGCGTGGCTTACAGGGAGGGTCCCAGCGGTTGCAAAGTGTGGTCCAGCTCCTGGCTAAGGAGTTTGGGTTTGATTCACTGGGCGGCCACGGGGGAGCCACAGAAGAGGAGGAAGCCAAGCTGGATGAGTAGTGCGTAGATTCAAGAGATTTTTCTGAGCAGTGTATTCCGAGGAGATTCATGTTATTTCAACTTAATTCCCAGAGTCTTGATGAGTCCCCACCACAGGGCTTTGGCCTTCCTTCCTAAACCTTCTTCATGTGGCCACCTTCTCTTTTGGGGAGCATTGTTGCTCAAAGACCTAAGGTGAGTTTTTGTGGAGTTTTTATTTTTTTGGTACTAATTCTGTTTCAGAGCCTGGACACGATTTCTGTGCCTTTTTTTTTTTTTTTTTTTTTTTGATTATGGGGCTTGAACTGTGGGTCTGGGCGCTGCCCCTCAGCTCTTCAGCTCAAGGCAAGCACTCTACCTC